ATCATTTCAGGCCGCCAGACTCTGTTGAGGGTTGTTATTTGATGAAATTGTGATTGAACCGGAATCAAATTGAGGTGATGGAGGTTGCGTTGCAAAAGCTGGTAACGGGCCACTTCAAATACTTGCTTGGCTGCCAAGTGTCACTTTAATTCATATCAGCCCAATCAGAGTTCTTTCCAAACCCTCATTTTGAAAAATTCCCCAAAAGGGGGTTCTCAGTACTTACCCTTAACCCCCGGTACGAGGTGCCGAGCCGTTTGACGTGCATACGTCACTCTAGTCCTTGTTAAGACATGGAATAGGAGAAACTAAAGACCGAACGAAGGGGCGAAATTTAACAGCACATAACCCCTCGTGTAAAGAAGATAATATTCGATCGTATATAGGCCTGAGCAGGAAGGAGCGGGGAACCACTAAGTGGTTACAGGGATTATGATTGAGTAACCCGGCTATGATTTATGATTGGTGACTTGACTAGTTAGTGACGTCGTTGCGGTTGCTGGTGAGGGACCCTTCCCCCTCTTCTCCTAAGCATTGAGACACCGATCTGAGAACCAAGGTGGGCCTGCAGCCAACAAAAAGAGGGGCTCCTTGATAACGACTCTTCCGGGTGATTCTAGATAGCTACGGGACCATCGTTCCACTGATTCGATTGACTACGGCTGCGGATATTTCCCACCACTAGTATAAGTTATTGGGCTCTGAAAAACCCGTGATATAAACGATTTCTCAAGTACAGACTTTCAAAATCCATGTGCATGAGCAATCTGCAACCACGTCTGAAAAACCACAACTGATCACGGCTGATAGGAAGATTAGGAACAAGAATCACATATCATCAATGGAATCCAGTACAGGTCCCCCTTCGCTTCGCCAGTTGGCTGGGATCACCTCATCCTCCTCGAAGCCTTTCAGGCCATCTCCTCTTGCTACAGCGACGTCAATTGGAGCTGTTCATGACAGGGCTACGAAGATAGTAGGCCCGAGCGACGGCCATGAAGGACTAAAACTTTCCGGCAGAGTTATTTCTACAGCATGTTTCCTACCTTACTCTCTGGGATATCGTCGGGGTGGTGAATGGGTTCGTCTGTCTCCTCCGTTTTCGACATTGAAAGGATTCAAATATTGACTAAGGATGCAGGATCTGTTCCCACGACGTGGTTCTTCGGCTTTGTACGATGCTATCAGGAATCTAAGCTCCGATGCAGCACCGTGGGAGACTACATTTGTGGGGTGGACAGGTGAAATTCATGAACTTCCTCCAATCAAACCAGCTCGGTCAAATCCAACAGGGGGATCGAAAAGCTCAGGGCAATTCCCGATATCTGCGAGCTATGCGCCGCAGATGACGAGGACCAAGTCTTACCATGTCCCGCCACCAGTTCCTTTAATAAAGCACGACGGAAATAGAATGACAATGACGGCAGACTACGGCACCCAGGAAGACGAGGAAATTAAAATATTTAAGGATGATAGAGATGAATTGGAGGGTCTCTTGTCAGAGAAAGGAAAAGCAGCCGGATGGGGTGATGTTGTTCCTGTGTGGATAGGAGGTGATGAGGATGGTAAAATGAGTATTGGAGGGGTAGATAGATGGAGAAATTATGCAGAGAGAGGTATGCTTGATATGAGTGAAGGTAGGGGGTTCAACACAAATACAACCACTAACTTTTATGATAGTTGTCTGGCCGCTATTCCATTATATCGTCCCACAAGACTTCTCCCCTCATGAGGGGTCTGCTCTCCAGGAACGTTCATGGTGGCGTGACTACCTGGAATTTAACAACGCCTTTGCCGATGCAATCATGAAAGTGTATAAACCAGGTGATATTGTCTGGATCCACGACTATCATCTATTGATGTTACCGGAGATTCTCCGTCAACGGGCTGGCAAAGACATCTATATCGGCCTTTTTATGCATGCACCCTGGCCCTCTAGTGAGATCTTCAAGGTTCTCTCTCGTCGTAAGGCACTTCTTTCGGGAATGCTTGCAGCAAATATGCTCGCTTTCCAATCCGATACCTATAAGAATCATTTCACATCGTGCTGTAAGAGACTGCTGGGGTACACTGAGAGCTATGATGCTCGGGGTAATGTCACGGGCGTAGATACCCACGGAGCGCATTGTGCCGTCGAAGCTTTGCCCATCGGAATTGATGTGGAGAAACTCTTAAACGCGGCCGAAAGTGCAAGCATCAGTGCCAAGATGGAAATCATCAAGAATGCGTATATAGGGCGTCAAATCATCGTTGGTAGGGATCGGCTTGACAGTGTGCGCGGGGTTGTACAAAAGTTGAGGGCTTTTGAAAGGTTTCTGGACCTGTATCCGGAGTTTATCGGCAGGGTATGTAATGGCTTTTTCTCATCCAGTTTTCCTACCGGTTTTTCTACCAGTTTTTTCCCAGTTTTCATTTTTTTCCTTCTTTCCATGTCTTTACCCCCGCAATAGGTCTTGGCGCGGGCACTACCCCTGCAGTTGGTAGATTGCAATTAGATCTAACGCTAAAGCTTGCCCCTCTTATTTATTACAGGTTGTCCTTATCCAAGTCACTTCTCCGTCCTCACTATCTCAATCTTCCACCATCGAACACCAGGTTGCAGAACTAGTTTCACATATTAATGGGAAGTACGGGTCGTTACACTTCTCACCAGTTCAGCATTATCCCCAGTATCTAGAGCCAGAAGAATACTACGCACTTCTTCGTGTCGCAGACCTTGGCCTTATCACTTCTGTCCGTGATGGTATGAACACGACCTCACTCGAGTACGTCGTCTGCCAAAAAGATAAGCACGGTCCGGTCATCTTATCTGAATTTACGGGTACCGCCGAATCCCTCACCGACGCAGTAATTGTCAACCCCACAAATACCAGAGGAGTCGCAGACGCCATTGCCACCTGCCTATCCTTGACAGACGAGGAGAAGAAACACCTTCACGGAAAGCTCTACGAATACGTTACTACCAATACCGTACAAACTTGGAACTCGCAATTCCTTAATAAACTCCTTGCAGAATTATCCTACCAGTCAACCCACTCAATGACACCAGAACTCAATCGAAGACGCTTCTTAGAGGCATACCAAGCCGCAGGAGAGGGGAAAGGAAAGCGCTTGTTTATGTTCGACTATGATGGAACCCTTACTCCTATCGTTACTGATCCAGAGATGGCTATTCCCGCTGATAAGGTTGTGAGGAGCATCAAACGACTCGCACAAGAGGAAGGAAATCAGGTTTGGATCATCTCGGGTAGAGATCAGAAGTTTTTGGAAGAGTGGTTGGGACACATCGGAGCGCTCGGATTGAGCGCAGAACATGGATGTTTCATGAGGATGCCAGGAAGCGATACATGGGAAAATTTGGCAGAGAGTATGGATATGAGCTGGCAGAAGGTTGCCATGGAGGTATTCTCTCGATACACGGAGCGTACTCAAGGTATATTAACTTTTGCCTTAATTTCCTCTCATTTTTGTTTTCTTTTTTTCTTTTAAAAAAAAAATAAAAAACTTGCATTAGTCATGATATACTGATATAAATTTCTATTAGGGTCTTTCATCGAACGGAAATCCGTAGCTGTGACTTGGCACTACCGCCGTGCCGACCCTGAACATGGCGCGTTCCAAGCTCGCGAATGTATGACTGAGCTATCTAACCTAATGAACGAGCTTGGACATGAAGTCGAGGTCATGACTGGAAAGGCGAATCTAGAAGTTCGACCTAAATTTGTTAACAAGGGCGAAATCGCGAGAAAGTTGGTCGAGACTTCCGATGTACTTCCGGGGTTCGTATGGTGCGTCGGTGATGATACTACTGATGAGGGTGAGTATCAAGACTTTCCAACAGCACACCATATATCCCCCCCTCCCAACTGCTTAAGCTAGTGCTATTTAATCCTATTGTTGAAGCGGAACTGAAACTGATATGGTTTGAATAGACATGTTTCGGGCCCTCGAGGGGGCGGATCTTCCAAAAGAAACGGTCTTCACTGTTACTGTTGGTCCAGCTTCGAAAGAAACAGAGGCTAATTATCACCTTTTGGAACCAGCTGATGTCGTCGAGGGCATTAGCTTGTTGGTGGGAACTACAACCCTAGAAGAAATTGAGAAAGCTAGTGGGGAAGGGAAGCCAAGCCTTTAGCTTTGCATTGGCTTGTTTGTAGAACAAAAAAGATAATTACGGGCTGAGTTGGATTATTTCTGTCCAGACCTTTGAGGGACAACTAGATATACACTGATAAAAGAACTTTCCTATATCCTACCTTCCTGGGATAAATAGACTGGACTAGGAACTACTTGTTGTTGCGTTGTTATTATGTACATGTATGTATGTACGTACACACATTTGTTTTCTTTCATTCTGCAATTATTGGGTTATTTTCAGGGGTGCGAAGGGGAATTTGAGCTTTATGGCTTTATATCAATAGACGGCTACATATGGATGGATATTTATTGAAATCAAACCGAATACATTTTCCGATCCGGTCTGATGATGAATTACCTTCTGACTTATTTATAGCGCCCCCTCCCGAAAAGCTTTTTAGAATATATGATAAAGCAAAAATAAAAATGCATAACCTCCTGTAATCTTGGAAAACCCAATAGTGAGACCAAGAACAAGAGACAGCACCGTTCGTGGGGTACACTGTTGAGACAGGTTGGGCCAGGTACTGGGAAACGAGCTATCAGTCATGACCAACTAGGCAACGATACTATGATCGAAAGTTATCTTTGACCCATCACTTGAAAATGCCCTTGGTGTCTATTAACTTGTTTTCAATAAGGTCCAATCAGACATTGCACAAGGCTATGCGAGTGACAGACTGTGATTGTTTAGTTCAAATGTAGATTGACCTTACGCAAACTTTGTTGGCCAGACCTTTTACAACCGTGGCGTTTATCGGAAATATCTATCTCTCTATAAACTACTCAACTTCTTCTTGTGTCCTCAGTCTCACACCACACATAGTATCAATAGTTTGGTATATTCTATCTATAAAACCACGATGACTACCGATACGAATCCTGCCCCGGATGCGAGTCCTACCTCGGATACGAGTCCTGTCCCAGATACGACTCCTGCCCCGGATGCGAGTCCTACCTCTGATAAGAATCCTCCTGCCCCAGATACGAGACCTGCCCCGGATGCGAGTCTTATCCCAGATACGAGTCCTGCCCCAGATATGAGTCCTACCCCGGATACGAGTCCTGCCTTGGTCTGATATCATTTCCAATTCTTATTACACGGACTCAAACTAACACAGAAATTTAGAATCCATCGTTTGTTTTGAAGGGACCACGTAAAGGCGTCATTGAAGATGGCCCGATACCTCTGATTCGGTCTCATACGGATGTTATTATACGCATACACTCTAGGGCGTTTTCTGCCCCTGATGTAATTCTAAGCTCCGCACCGCCTAAGCTGGCCGGGTTACTCACACACATCGTGTACATTATAGGTGACTCTATGGAGAAACGGCCCAAAGGACATCAATGGTAAGGGTCATGTTCCAGGTTTACATGCTTCTGGTGTTGTTACCATGGTTGGACCAAGGTGTAAGACGTTGAAAGAAGGGGACCGGGTCGTCTTTTCGCCCTTGTGCCCTTGTCGAACCTGTGTTTTCTGCAAATCGGGCGTACACAATCTCTGCCCGCAGAGGACAGTACTTGGCATTCCACCTGTAGATGGCACGCTTCAAAAGTTTTGCGTCGTGCCTGAGGATCTCTGCGTTGTTCTTCCTGATCACCTAACGTTTGAGCAAGGAGCAATTGTTGGGTCGTATGCCATTGCTTTTCACGTCTGCAGGCAAGCCAATATTAGGCCCGGCAATAGCGTCATTATCTTTGGCGAGAATAGTTGTGCAAAATTCTGTGCTGCTGCGGCAAAAACCTTCGGCGCTACAATGGTAGTGCTTATCGGAAAGCAGAACTATCCTAATATCAAGCCTACAGATACCGCGAAAGAAATTGCAAAATCCGTGCTCAAGAGGTATAAACTAAGTACGGGTTCCCACGTTGTGATCGAAGCGTCTGGATTCGATATCTTTATGAACACGGGAATCTACGTCCTCAGACCTAGAGGGACATTTGTTCAGATCTACTCCACTGCGTATGGTTTCGATAGGCCTACGGACTTTCCGGTGAGACAGGCCTGCATGAAGGAATTAGTTGTCAGGGGGGCTCGCGGGTGTCTTCCTGAAGATTTTATAACCTCGATAGAAATGCTCGCTAGCGGGGAGTTGAGCATGAAAGAAGTCAAGAACGTATATGAGTTTGAGGACGCCCAGGTGGCCTTTGAGAAAGCTCAAAAAGAGATTGAGGGCGACAATGCAGCACGCCGCATGGGAGACCCGAGTTTTTTCATCAGCGGGCCTCGAGATGAATAATTATACGAGAGTACTGTACTTTCCGGGACGATGGCGAAACTTGGTAAATGGCGAATGGCGAGTTTTTAGCTAACCATAGAGTTGACATCTGGCCAAGGCAACGCGGTAGTTGCGCTTTTGTTGACTTTTTACGGGTCAATTCACCATCGGACAAAGCTCGCCATTATCCCAGAAAAGACAGTATAGGTCTGTATACCTTTTTCGCCTACTGCGCCCATTTAGTTTGTTGCATTATTACTACGTAATGGCTGTACTATCAGCGGATAGTCTTCCATATGTTTGATTAAAGAAATAGGCACGCGTATGAGAGAACAAAGTTGTTCCGGCACCGAGTGATATTTTGTGCAATAATTAAAGGGGAATATGTCCTTACGTGTGACATAACTATAATGATATTACATGTAGTGTTGGCCGTGGTGTCAACAGCGCCACATCTTCTTGAGCGCCTGTTTAAGGCTCTCGAGAGAAATAAATCGTGAGTGACAGGTGAGTAAGTTACAAAACACGCAACTCTCGTGATTTTAAAAAAAAACTGTTTGTGCTGTGTTCTATATAAAACGCACATATATATATAATTGATGATCTGCAATGCATACCCACCAATGCAACCAACACGAACCCAAGCTACATACAGTACTGAGCAGCGCCTCACTCCCATCCCCATTCCCACATCACCAGCTCAAACCAAACACACTTTACACCTCAACCCCCAACCTAACACCCTATCCTCCACCACGATTAGTAACCCACCACCCAACACCCAGCCCATAGCCCGGCGCGGCACCCACCAACCCGGCACACCTGTACCACTCCTACATCCTGTACTTGTACTCCTGCCCAGCGGACTTCTTACCCGGAGCCTATCCATCATCCATTCAGCTTGCTTGCTAACTACCTACAACGTGCGGGAAACACGGGTGTAGCTGTGTGCTGCGTGCATGCAGAATGTAGAATGCGGTATTTTAGCGCAGTCGAAATGCCATGTGTGTGCCTTGGTGCGAGCGTGGGGGATGGATATGGGGGTCGAAGGATAGAGCTGGATGGGTGGATGGGTTTGAGATCCGTGGATAGCCGGGGATCTGGGAGGATGGGAGGGGGTGAGGTTTGGGAGCTAGAGGGTGTTGGATGGGGGTGGTGGCGTTGGGTGTGGTGCCGGTGGTGGTGAGGTGGGAGTTGAGGGTGGATGGACAGGGAGGTGAGGTGAGGTGAGGTGAGGTGGGAGGGCCGGGTGATGGCTCATGATCAAAATACGAAAGAGCGACAGAAACCGGTGAGTGAGGTAGGTAGGTAGGTAGGTAGGTAGGTGGGTTTGTGATTATACAGGTACATGTAGTATGTAGAGTAGTACCGGACCGTATAACGTATTGTATGGTATGGAGCACGTCATGTGAGAGAGTGAAATAATTAAACACATATATTGCTACATGTAGGTACATGTAGGGAGGGTATTCTACTCTATTCTTGATATTTCCAGCTCCCAGTAAAGCAGGAGCTATTATAGCATAATCAACCGGCGCGGGTCAGGCAGCCTGCTATATGATAGATATCCTCCGATGATCACCGCAATTAATACGCCACAGGGCTGCTAGCTAGCCCTATGTGCTGCTGGCCGGTCCTGTGAGACAAGAGTGGGATCGCATAATCAAGAAAACACCACTCTCGATCTCCCACTCTCTCCTACCTACTACCTCTCGTATCTACCATCGTACGAACTGACAACTACAACTACATACTCTACAACTACAACCTCGAGCTCCTCCACCGCCGCCGCCACCATCTAGATCTAGCTGCCGGCCGACCGCTGATCCGCTCGGTAAAATAGACGTGATAACGTTTTCGCTAGCTGCTTGTATCGACCGGCGGGGCGGGTTTGGGGTAGCTCGAACACACCGCACATACCTGGTTGATTACATTGGAGTAGAGACGTACTCTACCCCCCCCCCCCCCTTTTTTTTTTTTTTTTTGCTGGGGCTTTGTAATTAGGTTTACCGGCGATTCGTGGGGGAGTGACTGGGGGTGCTGCGATCGCGTCGTGTATGTTGGAGGGAGGGAGCGGGGGGTTCCTAGAGTAGGTAGGTACCTAGGGGAGGAGTGTCCCTGGAGGAGATTGTCTGGAGTAGAGTAGAGGACCGGCCTGGAGTAGAGTCCCGGAGTAGAGCACTCTACTTCCACCTCCATGTAGCTGTAGATGTGAGCGCTGCCCCGGTCGCTGTTGTTGTTGCTCTTAGGCTTCTGGCGGTGGATTAGTCGTGAGCGCATGACGTACGCCATGAGCGTCGGGGAGGTGCGGTGCGGTTCGGTGCGGCATTATGTAATCACTATATCGCTGCCTCGGATCCCCTTAGCTAGCTAGCTGGCGGAGGTTCGTATTATTCGTATTGGATTCGCGTCACGACCGTACCTCGCTCGAGTTACAGCGCACAGCTGCAATCCTGTAATCTGGAGTAGGGAGAGTAGGCAGCGCAGACACAGGCCGCAAACCCGGTTCCGCCGGCTGTCCTCACCGTAGAGTCGGTACCTCTCTTCATCACTTCACAGCACTGCAATACGCTGCAATCTACTCTAAACATTGCAATCCCATCCAGCCCTCCCTCTAGCCCTCCCTCCCTCCCTCCCTCCCTCCACCTCCATCCACCATCCAGTCGCACTTCTGGAAACCCACCGAATAACCTTCTCCTCCCTCTGCACGCTCCCCCGAGCTAGTCTTGAGATCGAATGTTCAGGGTCCAGTTATGTGGCTTAGTCACCGCCCTGCAGGGACACGGATAGATAGGATAACCCGTAGCTTCGGTTGCAGCTCGGCAATTTGCCGGTGGTTTTGTCGCTTAGATAACGAGCGCTGATAACTAACCCCCCATGGCAGGCGTGGCAACAGGGGTAGTGGGGAGGGAGGCCCTGGGAGGGGAAAACGTGCTGAGGGAGCCGCATTACACGGGCTTGGCGGAGTTAAGAAGGGGTTTGGGTTTCCGGGGTGACGGGTGAGGGACGGTGGAGAGGGTTTTTACTGTGTTGCTGGAAGAGAGTATCTGCAAGGAGGGTTAGCTGTGAGTGCTAATGAATGCGATGGAATTAACGAAGGAATTAAGAATCAACGGGGATGAGCAGAGGAGATTAACGAAGCTAGGGAATTAACGAGCGGGAATTAACGAAGGGGGAACAAAGACTCTGAATATCTGTTGATCTCTACCTTCTCTACTATGTAGCTAGCTCTCTAGCACCATACCATCCTCCCATCTTCTACTTTTCTCTAGCTACCGGCCCTCTCCCACCCCCCTCCCACTCTTCCCTCCATCCCATCCCATCCCATCCCATCCCATCCCATCCCACCGAGGGATTTAGATTACAAACAGCACCAACGCCAAACCACACCAAACCAGTACAAACTCATCACCACCCCATCATCAATCAACCACACACATTACAGGGATCTCACGCTCTCTGACCGCCCGCCGTCGAGTCCGTACTTGCACTTAATTCACTCATGAGCCACGTGATGGGACAAGGTCAGGGCCAAGGCTAAGGACAGCCGCGGAGCGCTTGTGTGTGCGTGGGCGTGTGATAGACGCCGCGCCGTTTTTCGTTTGTAGGGTGGCAGCTTTGGGTGCAGCGGGACGGCTGGTGAGGTGTGCACCGGTGAGGAGAGCAGAATAGGTACATGTAGGTACAGTGTCGGACAGCCATAACCAGCCGGTCAGAGAAACCACCTCAAGCCCTTCACCCCATCGACTTTCAACAACGCAACACTTGTCCAGAAATAATTTTCTTTTGTAAAATGGGTCCAATCATGGTTGTAATCGTTCCCAGGAAGGGAATTTAAAATAATTAAGAACTGGTTGCACTATGACCTCTCAAACATTTGGTGCAATCTGCCCGAAAAAAACATAGGTTAACTCCATGCCAAGTCGGCCAGACTAATTGGGATAATTCTTACCCGATTGGGACTACCACGCCTCATTAAATGATTGTTATTACCCGATTAGGACTAGTTTCTGGCTTGAAAAGAACATGAGGGTTGGTTTTGGCTGTCCGGCGCTGTACCTAGTAGATGAGGAGAGTGCATGTCTTTGCCTCCAGCGCAATGGGCTGTTTCTACGCCAGCCAGCCAGTCAAAAAGCCTCGAAGGCCCGGAAATGCGGAGTGGAAATGGTAAATGGGTAGCATCTATGTACGCGTGGGCGCCCAATAGTACTCTATTTAGACGAGGGTTTAGCGAGTGGCGATTGTTGTCTGTAGAACCATTGTGCGATGCGCGAGTGAGAGAGAGACAGCAGGACAGATAGACAGGACGACTGTGGTCCGAACAAACGGAAAATGTGGTGGCAAATGCTACACAGGTAGAGTAGAGGCCGTAGAGTAGAGTAGCAAAGACACTGCACTGCACCCGGACCCGGACCTTAAACCTGGGATGGGAGGAGTGGATGCAGTCGGTATTCCAATCCCACTTTACCTAGAGTACATACTCTACAGTAGAGTCTAATAAAATGCAGTTGCTCTCCGGTATGGCCAATGCCAAAAAAGCCACAAATCTGCTGTTTTGGTAACCCGAACCTGAATTCCACATAGCACCTTGCCTGCTGTACCGAGTAATTTGTATTGAGCGAATGTGCAAGTTCGTTATATCGCAGGGCGACGGTATGTACCTTCTCGAGAGTACATAGAGTAAAGTGGTTGCATACATGCACCGGTTCGAGCCAGCCAGTCAGACAGACCGCCCGCTTGCTACTCTGGAACTTCACTATGTAGGTAGGTAGAGTAGAGAAAAGGCAGTAGACAATTAGGACTAGACTCTCCCTCCCATCCCCCGTCGTAGCGGTAATGATCTACGGGCGATCACACAAAACGAAACATCGTCCCTTTTTTTCCTTTCCCCCCACTAACCTAACCCATCTTGCGTACAGCGAAGCCAGGCCCTAAAAAGCCACGTGCAGTAGTGCGCAGCGCAGCCCCGATACGTGCAGTGATTTAAGGTTTTCGGTCTAGCCGTCTCTTCCTTTTTTTTTTTTTTTTTTTTTTTTTTTTCCTTTTCGCGTGTGTGGTAGGGTACGGTGCGGCTCAACACAAGCGATCGACGCAGGAACGAAAGGGAAGGGTAAGGGTAAGGGTAAAAAGGATAGAAGTGGTAAGGGGGAAGGGGGAGGAAAAGGGTCTCAAAGTAGCCTAACCGGCCGGGGGTGAAGGTTTTTTGGTTCCGTGGAAAAGTAAAAAAAAAAAAAGGGAGGTGTGAGGTATCAACTGTGAGTCTTACGCCGGTTTGCAATCGTGCTGGGCTGGTGTGAAATAACGTTGTGAGGGAAAAGAAGAGGGAGAGCAGATCTAGAGGGAATATTCCGTAAGGTAGAGACGGTAGAAACCCTGGCATGGAATGGGCCCTGGCAGGGGAGGTCGTGTTCCCGCCCTAGGAAGGCGCTAACAGGGAAGAGGTGGCTTGACGAGAAGAGCCAGGGAAATTCCCTACGTCATGACAGATAGCCCAGATCACAAGGGGGGGTGTTGAAGGACGATAGTGACGAATAGGAAGTAGTGGATTTGGGCAGAGAGTAAGAGTAACTGACTGTATCTGAACAGGGGGGTTCTGGTTGCCTAGTCTGAAGACTGTAGATACTCTACTCTACTCATCCTTTCTCAACCTGCTTCCTTCGTCAACCAGGTTATCGTTCCGTCTCACATATTCGGCTCAATTATGGGCGAGGTTCATCCAATCTACTCTATCTGCTCTATCCGTCTATCCACCGTCACGAGAGCAACAAGCAAAAAGGAGACTCTAATAATACCTGATACCGACCAAGTAATGACCCCCGTCCCCGCCATAGCATGCATGAAGAAGAATAGGTAAGTCCTGTTGCCCCACGGACCCTACTGCAAAGAGATCTAGCCCTCTGAACAAAAGCCCTCATGTGTTAACCACATATGCCTTGAGCTTTCTGAGCAAACACCAGCGCAGTATGTACATCTAGTCTACAGGGAAATGAAGATTGATAATAACTCGTCAGCTAGCCAGCTACTCTATCTACATGTAGCTACCACGCACCTCCCCGGTTTTCTCCATGGATATGTTTTCCCAGATCAGTACCGGCGGATATACATACACTCTAGCACGAAGATCTAGATCTCCAGGGTGGTCCAGAGTACTTTTTTTTTCGAAGGTTGTGGTTCATCTGGAACAGACTTCCGGTCTGTCAGACATGAGTGTTTGCTCTGATCCTCCCGTCGAAGATCTCCAGTCCCGGACCCCCCTAATCAAGGCAGGAGGTACAGTTAGTCTTAATATTTGTTGTTCACTGGGTAATGACGGGCACCGAATGTTGACTGACAGGGTATTTAAGCCAATGAGAAGGCGCTTGGCTATTTTGTCTTTCTCCTTTTGGTTGAAGCCGTCAAGTTTCAGCATGATGATCCAATGTCCGTCGATACGGTTCAGTGAACGACTAACTTGTAGGCAAGCCATTTCCTTCCTTTGCTCGCAATTAACCACGTGCTTAGAACTTGGCAACCGTCTGAACGAGCTACGATATCTTAACACGGCATGCCGTTTTCCCATCTAAGCAATATAACACAAGCATTTATTTGGGTATGTGTTTTGTGCGTGCTCGTCGTCGTCTCTTGAAGTTCAAAGGGGTGGTCGCGCGTGGTGATCAATGACCCACTACCCCACCCCTAACCCTAGCTATGCTAGGATCTACGCACTGACCAAAATAAAGGTACAAGGGGGGTACCCTGTCCACAGCAGGGCGTCGGCTTAATACTCCACTCCACACCTCAACCGAAATTCACAGATGCAGTGCGTTTGAGGATTCGAATGAATCTCATGCCTTGTTGTGGGCCTGGTTATGAGAAGCAGCAAGAAAACTCATCGAGAAAGAAGCTCGATCCACGGAGGTAAGTTCTTTTCTTTTTTCTTATGCTTTCTTATGCTCACAAATGGACGGCCTGGAGGATTGGACTTGCTTCAGTGGTGGTTCTCGTTACGTTATGTTCACACTGCGTTTGATGATCATACTGATCTTGTGTTGATGCAATTTACAGTGATAATTAAAGCACTTATTTATTGAATAATGCATGAAATTCAAGAGTTGGCTCCACACACTGCCAGAAGAAGAGCGTACTGGATGTGGGAGCAAAAGGTGAAACAAAGGTACTACTACAGTACCAACAATTTGTCCTATATGCATGCGCCGTACGGGTGTACTGGATAAAAAACATGCTGATAAAGAATATTCATTATAGCACACCACAGTCATCACTTAAACTATATCTCGCCTCTCGTACATACATACATACATAGGTACATACATGAGAGTGAAAGAAAAAAAATAAACCTGGGGAAAGCGGATCAAGATCTGCCCCAGTTTTATGGTCCCGAGATGGTGATCCACAATTTCTGGAGGGGCCGGGATTCACTGCCGGATGTTTGTTCAATTCCCGTTATATTATATCTCTGAAGCTTGGAAACGAAGTGCGTCTCTGCTCTAATCAGGCACAATTCAAACGGGAGGGAAGGGAAAAAAAAAAGAAAATCACGATTCGGCCCACAGAAGAGACTGCATCCACGGTATGCGGTTGACGTTCCCGTTCAACTCTGCGCACTTCAGGCAGAGGCAGGCGCTCCTGCAGTGATGCAAGGCTTTCTTGATGAGGACATGGGTCCCGTTGAGTTGATTGGAATCCCCACTTTCTTCGTAACGGACCAAACCCAAATGTCCAGGCAGGCCGCCTCACCTCGATCAATTCTTATTATTTTCTCGTGGGCTGAAACTGAAAACTCTGAGCTATTAAACTTTGGACTCATATCATGGGATTTGCGTTGCGATGTCATTAGCCGCATGCCCTATGGGCATCAAATATCTACGGTACTAACCTGAAAATAATCATGATCGATCCAATCGCACCTAAACACGCAAGACTCAACGCGTAACGTCTCTAGAGCTACAACTAGATAGTTCTACATACTCGTCCAGTAGTTAGCAAAAACGGGGGGTGAAATTATCCATCTTAACAGGTACGTGAGACCCTAATACGATCAGCAATCGGGGGTGCCGTAGAAAATTGTCTCAGTTTTGTAAAAAAGACAAAATCAGGAAGATTCATGTGCGTATTAAATTGTGAAACCTCTTTTTTGCGGCTAGCCTATTAGGACGGGTCAATCATTAACTACATACACGCATCTAATTGAACAGAAATAGCATAGTTAGTATGGTTGAGAACCGAACCCGATGAAGAGTTTTTTATGACCTCCACTGGTTCTTTGGCAAGCTCAGCTGACTTATGTTTCCTAGCTGGTGTAAACTTAAAATTCGTCAGTAAAGGACCCTTTGCTTTGGATGTGGGTGAATCGTCTTTATGATTTCCATCGAAGCTTGTGATGTCAGATATGTCAACACAAGATCGAGACCGACCTTCATGATGGACAACCCCAGCCGACGATCACGTTTTGGAAGCCTCGGTTAATCGCCTATGACTCCCAATTCGCGCGGTCTTTGTGATACATATCCAAAGGGTTGTTGGCGGCGTCTCCCTAACGGCCCTGCGGAAATATCACCAACTGGTCGACAAGCCCTTTTTCTTTTCGATGGTGAAAACGCTATGGATTTGGCTCTGTGACATCTGTGCACACTGAAAGAGGGTTTTCCCCATACTTGAACATCGAGCATTTTGTTCTTTTTTCCTCTCGTGCATGTAGAGCACCTTTCTTTTCCCGTTCGTCCCATGAAGCGATTGGGTACCCAACTACTCTATTTGCATGCCCCCCCATCTTGGTCACATATCACAAACCCCATCCGTGCAGCGTGCTCCCTCCCAGTGGTTACCACCCTCCTCCCCCAAACACGTAATTGCAAATCCTCCTGGTCTTGTCGACTTGCGTTTTTTTGAGGGTGGTGTAGAGTAGCACGGACAGCCCAAAGGGTCGAGCTTTACCTCTCTACTGTCATCTACCCATGGAACAACCGGCTGAGTTCCAGCTAAGAGAGAAAAGGGCCTGAGTACCTTGCTCTCCTGCTTGCCCAAAAAGCCTGTTTACATATGCGGTGATCGTCGTTGCTGATCACGCTAAACCTCCCCAAGAGGGACGAACCATCCATCCCATCCATCGCTAAAGGTCCGGTCCGTAGTGGGATGTGGGCTCTGGTCCCTGTCCATATGCTGCCCTGAGGATCGGATTTATGTATGGAGACGGATGATCAATCCTCCTGTCGCACACGAGATATCGAATTGGAGTTGTTTCATCTATTTCATTTGGTTTAGGAAAGTGGTTTGAGTCTGTCGGTGAGGTGTGTCCCTGGGCTACATGCTGTTGCATGGATTGTGGAGTAGAGTGGGTAGGGATTGAAGGTGGCATTGTATTCCAGGGAGCTGGGCATTGTATGTGGTTATTGTCCTATTGTCTGTAGCTCCACCTAGGCCTACCTCTCTCACCACCCACCCGTTATGCTATGCTATACCGTTATGCTTTAATATACCTATATCACCATCTATATCGCAGCGATCACAACATGAAAAAAAAGTCCCAAATCAAGAAAACCATGATCCACATGCCCAAAAAAAACCAATTATATCTCGGTTAGCAACCTCAAGGGGGAGGGAGGGACTCCGGAGTGGAGGGCATTAGGAATGAGAAAAATAAAATAAAATAAAACGCTCGTACTCTAAAATGACCTGTGCTTCTCAATAATAGTATAGCTGTTATGATTAACGTTTCATATAACCCCATGATGATGACAGGGTAGCCCAATAATATCAAGAAGGAAGCTCTCTCTAGAGTGCGGTCTAGAGTACCTGGAGAAGAGCAGAGAAGAGATTACCAAGGGACCTAGCTAGACTAGCTACATAGCTAGCTAGCTACATGCTCCGTAGTCCGTGGTCGATGGTGCCTTGCTGACGCATATGTATGTACAATGTAGGCAGAGGGAAGAACGGACAGAGGGCCAGTGCACACAATCAAAAAAGTCTGGGGTACTTTTACTCTACTGCTCATGTTGGATGTAGTCTGGAGTTCCTGGAGGTCTAAATATGGCAGTGCAGTCAGTGTGTGCTTCGTATATTGGGATCGGGATCGGGTCAATTACTTGGCTGTATGGTTACAATACACGGGGTTTCCATTCCATTCCATGGAAATGAAGTGTGTAGAGCAAGTACCTACATGAAGCAGCTAGCTACTTACTCTACGGACACGAGATATGATATTAGGCAAGCTTAACAATTCTACATTTACAATGTCTCCGAAAAGTATAGAGTACATATCGCGGACAAATACATATGCACATACGCCGCATCCCGTAGAGTACCGTACTTACTCTACCTGCCTCGCAGCACACTTAATTTCAGGAGTAACTTCTCTCTCGAAAGTTGTGGAAAAAATCAAATTTGTCTCTGGCATCAATCTGCCTCGTTCGCTCGCTAGGACGCTCTGGATAGCTAGCTAGCTAAGCTATGTTGCAGTGATCATTGACAGAGTAGAGTAAGCGTTGGCGTCGTCGTTGTCGGTGGGTGAGACATTTTGGAGTTCGTTCCCCAGCTAGTCGGTTTTCGCACAGACAGCTTGTGTTCTTTTTATTTTGCGCACTCACTCGTAGGTTACGTGTAGGTTACCACCTTGCAAGTAAGAGCGAAAGGTAAGGTAGCAACCCAAGTACCAGCGATAGGGGACCCAGGTGCGCGGTGGACGGTAGGGGAAATACCGATGTATTCCTTTTTTTCAATTTTCAATTTTTTACTTTTTCCTTTGTGTTTTTTGACCTGTTGCTTTTGCTACTGGCAGTGGCAAGAAGAATGCCGATTGGGACATCTGTAGGCGGGGAGGGTGGGGAGGGGAGGGGCGGGCATAAGGCAGCCTGTAGGGGAAGGTTGTTTTGCAAGGTACCCGTTTACCCCATCTTTTTGCTTCTTTTCTTCTGTTGCTGGGGGGAGGGGTGGATGTATCTTTTTTTTTTTCGAATGAAAAAAATTGTTTTGCTTTGTTTCAATATGGACTTGGAAGTTAGATATTCTATATTGGGGGACGTTTAGGACGTTGGAGTAGAATAGTACATGTAGTAATAGTAAGGCTGTACTAATAGTGGTAGTGCCAGTACATGTAGTCACGTAGCGGGTGGTAGTGAGTGGTAGTGGTAGTGGTAGCACCTCCGGCTTGATGCGACGCAAAGCGAGAGTGGACGTCGCGTAACTTATGGTAACAACATAGCTTAAGCCACAGGAAAGTAGAAGGGCCCTTTTGATATACCGCCAAAACTCGAAAAATTGGCTATCTCCGTCCAGGGATTGCCACTTGAGTGATTGGTTGAATGGCATCGATCTGCACCAGAAGTTTCCCGTACAAGTAATTTTGATCTAGCCAATTTTTCGAGTTATGGCGGTATTCCCTCTTCAGTCCCTTGGCATCTAGACCGCTGCAATAGAGCCCCAATTAGGACGACAGCCAGAATCTGGGAAGTGCTCATCGTGGGGATAACTTGGCAACGATGCTGGGTCTGGGGTTTTTTGGGGGGGGGGGGGGGGGGGGGGTTGGGTTCAGAAGTGAACGGAGGGCGGGGGGGAGGGAGCGGAGATTTCGATGTGCTAAGTTACGTATGTGAACTGAAAACTGAACTGAACTGAAATGACTGACTCTGACACTGCTAGTACAGAGACATAGGGTTAATCTGATGATCTCCGCTGTCAATTCGTGGGCAATGTTCCTCTCGCCTCACAAGTGCGTTGATTATTCTACCTGTACCTACTCTAACTAGAGTAGCTAGCTGCACACCACACGCTTTTTTACGTCTCCCTCCTCCTCCCATCATATCACGACTTGAATGTTTCTAGAGAGGGCACATCATTCCACTGCGAGTACATGGAGGAAGAGCGCAGGAACCTGAATGAAACCATTGAGCAGCAGCTGGCAGCAAAAGGCATCCATCCATCCCTCCCTCCCCCGGCTAAGCAGGCAGGCAAAGAGTACATAGCACTAGTCCATCCGTCGCTCCCATCCCATGCTACACCCCCTCGCCGCTCTCTCGGCCCTTTCTAATCCACAATACCCGTTCCCTCGAGTTCGTTTTCCCTAGACTGTTGTTTTTAATTTAATACCTCTTAATCCATTCATCCCATCTTTCGTCCTCACCGCACATCCATCTTCCTCATCCTCATCCCAATTCATTCCCCCTCACTCAACCCCCCTCCCTCTGAACCCCTGCAGAATCCAGGGCATCCCTATCATAGCATCGGCCCATCATCTACGTATACGCCGTCATCTATCTCCTCTCATTTAGTGTGAAATTTCCGTGTGTGAATAGACTGTCTTTTAGTACTACTACCTCTTCCTCAATCTCATCATCACCACCACCACTGTGTTCAATTTCCTACTCTGGATTTAGGGTGCACAAACGTCGAAGGTGGTGTGTGAGCTACTTGGAAGGGTGTTACAGCCAGCCAAAATAGCCCGTATTGGTACTTGCGCCCATTGTTATCACTGCATTCTCTACTGCTACATCTGCTTGCTTGCTTTGCTTGCTGCTCCCGCCGCTACTGCGATTTCCTAGTTCGTGTGTGGTTCCGGTGCTTCTTGCTTGCTTGCTGGTGGACAGTGGTGGTGTGCCCTCCAGAGGTATTCCATCCAGTTCCATTATTTCAACCACACCCCTTCCGATTGCAGAAACCTAACCTATCCACCGGACACGCTTTCCCTCACTTTAACCTCTCCTTCCCCTTTCCTTCATTACTACTGCTTGCTCGCCCGCTCGTTCCTTTGGGAGAGAGAGGCCGTTGTTTAGTCCCGTCAAAAGAGAACCCCATTTCTCCACCCAGTATATACCCATACAACTTGTCGCTCGCTCTGTGTCTTCCGGCTAGTTTACTGTTGGCCCGCTTGACCCACTGACTGAACCACCCCCCCTCCTCGAAACAGCTTTCGTCTGATCTTCAGCATTTTCCCCGCTCCTCCCAACGACTGGTTGTATATTTTGTCTGTCTGCTTCATAAGTGGAGCGCTGAGGAATATTTTCTGGGGATTTTTTCTTTTTTGTTGGCCTCTCCTCTCCTCTGCTGTCATTTCCTAAAAATCATTGAAAAGAATACTTGTTCAGTTACTTGCTGCTGCTGCTGCCCGCTCCTTATCGATTCGGCTACTGCAAGTAACTGCGCAGGATTACTATCGCAAGCAAGGCTGCTTACTGACCCACTACCAGCCTCAACCTCTCCCATAACAACGTCCCATTCCATAAAACCACTACATATCACTCTAACCCATCACCATTATATATCAACCAACCAGCCATACGATAAAGTCCCACTAGTCCGCTCCTCCTTCCCCCTACCACACACCCTTACCACCCCAACCAATCAACCACTTTCTAACCCACAACGTTGCTGGATTTACTTAGCCAAGTGGACGAATCTTAGAGGGTCTTGGAAAAACGTAAAAAAACAGAAGGGAACGTTGTTCGATAGTTAGCTGGTGGAGCCAGACTTTAGGTCTGACGAACTCGAAACACAACCTTCACAATTCTTTCCCCAATAGATTCAGGGTCGGAGGAGGTGCAGCAGCGAAGGGATTGGATTTCGTTTTCGCCTGCATTTCAACAGCACATGGCGGCAGTGGCAGCAATCGGTTATCCTCGAAGCAGCATGGCACGCTTATCAATAGATTCGACCTCAACTATGTCCTCGGGGGGCAGTGGTCCGGTCTCTAGCTCGCCGTCAGCCTCGTCCTCAACTTCGTCACCACCAGTTCATGGGAACATGGACAGCTTGATGGCGGATGGGGTCATTACCAAAATTGAGGAGCTAGACAACGAGGACGAGTTGAGGAATGTCCCCCCGCTACCATCACCATCCACAGAATCCGGGGAGCCGTCAAAACGAGGGAGAGGTCGACCACGGAAGCATCCGCTTCCGCCAATCGGGACGCAGACAAAGATTACCAAGGGCAGGTCGAAAACAGGCTGTATCACTTGCAGAAGGAGGAAGAAGAAATGTGACGAGACGAAACCAGAATGTTCGTTTGCACCTTTGACAGGCTCCACGTTGGTGCTATGATAGTGTTCCTAACATTTATTTTTCTTGCATTATAGGCAACAACTGCATCAAAAACGCAGTTGTCTGTGAAGGGTATCCAGAAAAGACCGTCTGGCAAAGCGGCCGCCAGAAGGCAGAGGGTGAATCTGCGCACCGGACCTATACACCAAACGACCGTCTACTAACCCCGTTTACAGGCAGGAATTTTAATCCTAGTGCCGCGCTTGCCCGGTTTGCGGATCTTCCGTGTTTAATTGACGGCGTGGAGACTCGAATAGACAGGGCTCTGCTTGATCACTTCGTCCGTAACGTTAGCCGCATCCTTACACTCTTCAACGATGCCACCAA